ACACACACACACACACACGCACACGTGTTAATTTACCTGCACGCTTCATGAACACGTCATCCATCGACGATTTTAAACGGAGTCGACACAACCCGCTGCAGCGACACTTCCTCAGCTCGTCTGTGTGTCTGTGAGACAGACAGCCTCACCACTCACACTGTTTCCTGCAGAGGACTCGCTCTTACCTGAAGCTGTCTCCTCCACGCAACACCCCCCCCCCCCCCCGGGTCCAGTCACGTGCTTCCTCTCCGCCAAATAAAGAGTGAATCGTTGATGTCGTCACATCAGAAGCAGCAGTTGTTTGTGTTTGTGTGTGTGTGTGTGTGTTTGTGTGTGTGTCGGAGACTGAGAGTGTGTCAGTGTCTCTGAGGTCTGTCTGCTTCCCTGAGAGGAGGAGACCGAACACGAGGATGTGGAGTCACACAAGGACACCCTCTGCAGGACTGCTGCACACACACACACACACACACACACACACACACACACACACACACACACACACACACACACCATCTAATGACACATCAGTGTTAGAATCATCTAACAAGCTCAACATTCAAAAACAAAATGACCCAAAAGCTTTTATTTTGTAAAGTTCCTAGTTCTGACTACTTAATTCAGGAGATTTTATTTACTAACTAGTTTCCACATTTTGTTCCTGAAGTCTCCGGTTGTGTGCTTCTAAGTTTTATTTCATTTATAACAGAAGATATATGAGTTTTTGGGGATTGTTCCTTCCTTCTCTTTGACTCTTGGTGTCAACAAGTCATTGCAGGAAACTTAATGCAGTTTATTTCAAGTTTGATTCGTTTAGTTAAATCACTGGTGAGAATATTTACAGGTTGATTGTATTCACACGTCATATTTACAGTATAAGCAATAAGTCAATCAGAAAGTTTGAATGTTCATTACATGGGAGTAGATTATTGGGATTGTGACTCACAGTAACTGGTGGACTTTAATTTGATTGAGGGGTGTGGTTTCCTGGTCGGTGGGTGACTGTGCTTAATTAACTGATTAAGTCGGAATTAGACTGTCCCGAGTAAACGGCATTTTCCGATGACCTCGACCTGAATATACAAACATGGAGGGAGCAACAGGAAGTCGTTCCTTCCTGTGCTCATCAGACTTTACGACTCCTCCCTCCTGGTGTCAGACACATCAAGTCAATAAGATTTTTAGATTCTCACCACTCATCTGCTGTATGTTCGACAGAGTAAGTGATAATCATCTGTATGTAAATGTTTTGCAGTATGATGGACAAAATGGACGAGCTAACTTTTTGTTGCTCTGCACATGTCTTATCTATATTTCATATTTCTTTTTATTATACTACTTGCTCTGTATATTTTTCTTTAGCAGAGGATTTATTAACTCTTCCAGTCCTGTTACCTGTGAAGGGCCCTGAACACTCCCACGATCACAAGTGAACTCACGGTGAAATGAGAAATGACCTTTTCACCCCATTAGCTAATTCTTGTCATTTTAACACGGAGGCCCACAAATACCTAAATCTCATTTTTCTTAAAAAGAAGCGACGGTGACAGACTCTGAAGTAAACAGCACATGTGCAGATGGCTTTTTAAAATCAATATCTCAATAAGCAATGAGCCAATTACAGAATCTTCTCCTCCATTACGCTTACAGGAGGGACCTCTGCTGGATGTTTGTGGCTACGACAGACTTCTGTTAAACTGAGGATGAGTCACATTTAGATTTTTGGAGGATTTAGTTTAATATATTGTTCAGTCAACGTTTGCTTTCGATCGTGACATGTTATTGATTTGCTCATTTTGAATTAAACGTGTTTTGTATAACCATGGGTCCCTAAGTCTGGTTTAAGTTAACTCAAAACTTAAAAATGCTCAAGTAGAAGTTGAAGCTTAAATTGATTTATATTCCAGTTCTTCACCTAAACACTAGAACTTTACTTATTCGACCATTCAACTAGATGTGTTCATGAATTCTTTACATGAAAACCTTTTGAACTATTTGAAGAAAACTGACTAAAGGTGAGTTGTCTAGTCCAGCCCACAAACTTTGACCTTTGACCCTTCCAGCAGAAAAAACACGATGGAAAAAACAATTTTATTGCTCCGCTTTGTCTAAAGTTTTATAAAATGATGTAATAAGACCCCAGTATATTGGTTTTTATATTTTTCACATGTGAACAGTACGGACAAAATAATAATTTCAAATCTTTGCACAATAAGAACAGTAATAGCTACAAATTCAGTTTAAACTATTGAAATAAAACATTAGTCAGTATATAAATACCAACAGGTGTCCTGTGTGTGGTGTGCAGTAGCTTTTGAGGGATTTTAAAAACTACTCTACAGCCACTTTTCTTTTTTTTCCGTGTTTGTACCTGAAGTTCTTTTAAATATGTTACTCAGAATGGAGCGTTCACTGACAGCTAAAGGCCAAACCATTATTCTCTGTTAATGTTCACCATACAAACGTTATCTAACACTTGTTTCAGGGGCTTCAAGTGCAGTGGTCAGCAGTTTTATCTATTTTTGATGATTTACTAAGTCAGTTATCTCTCAGAGTTGAACCAGGTCCAGGATGCCCGGCTCTGGTATGTTCTGGAATCCTCATGCAGAATTAAAACTGTTTTGACGAAAATAATGATATTAATGATTATTATTAAAATCCGTAGCTCTCAGTGCACAGCAGCATGTGAAGCAGATGAATAAATTCACTGGTATTTACACCAGATCTTTCTATTGCCACATTTAAAGTTAAATCTATTATGTTTCACAGTTAATAAAAAAATTATATACAAATATGAGAGCGTAGATCACTGCTGCATCAACAGCTGATCTATCCCTAGAAAACTGTTTCTGTTTAATGTCATCCAGTTTGAGGTTTGTATCAGCCCGCTGCCAATAACCTTTACTACTATGAGGACATGGTGTCACGTCAGGTGAATTATACCTCGCTGATATAAAGCTATTGATTGGTGGAAACAGGACATTTTGAATTCTTTGAACCTCTGTCGCCGAAGGTGGGAGGACCGAGGGCACAGGTCTGGAGGACATCAAACTGCGTGGTGGTCTGTGACCAACCCTGAGCATCTGCACATTGTTCTCTCCTTTTTTGGTGCCAGGCATCACATGGTTCCCCTGAACTGAGCCATCATATAAACAGCAGCTGCAGCAGAAGCCACCGAACCTTCAGCCCGGACTCTTCAGGCCTGTCAGGTATCACCCGGACCAGAGGACTGCCCACCATGAAGCTGCTCACCCACACCCTGTGTCTCTGCCTGGCCCTGGTTCTGGCTCTGCCTTATTCGTAAGCAGTTGCACTTTTAACCTGAAATTAACACGCCAGTGTGAACTTTTGGAAATTGTTGGTTTTCTTTCTTTCCGTGCTGTTGCTGGTTTAACTCTTGCTTCTGTTTCTCTGTCTGTTCTGTTCATCCAGGTATGAACAGAACGACAATAATGAGCTTCATCACGATCACCATGGTGAGTGGATGGAAAGCACTCACATGCATTTTGATAATTTGACATCTTGTACCGAACATTTCTCATCATAGACGCTACAACTTTGTTTAAAACCTTCTTTCCTATTTCACATGACCACGATTCTCTGCTGAAGTACTCGACCGTTGTCAGGGACTTGAGATGGACGCTGTTGCACTGAATGAGCATGGAATCCCACTCTTCTTCAAGGGTAAGTAGATAGACAGACAGATAGATAGACAGAAGTTGTGGAAGAGAAGTGTCTATCTAACACTCGTGCCCTGTATCTCCTTTTAGGCGACCATCTGTTCAAGGGTTTCCACGGCGAAGCTGAGATGTTTAACGAGTCCTTCGCCGAGCTGGATGACCACCACCTGGACCACGTCGACGCTGCTTTCCACATGCACTTCGAGGATCACCCCAACCACGACCACATGTACTTCTTCTTGGTACGCTCCCGTCTCTTCTTTCTGATCCCTGACCAATCAGCTGATTGGCTGGGGACCTGCAGGGGACCATGAACATGTTGGAGATTAGAGACATTCACTGGGTCAGAATAAAAAAAGCCTGGACCGATTTAGACTGATCAATAATCTCTGATAGCAACACAATGACAGGTTCATGGCCTAGATGACAAAAGTTTATTCATGTGCAGACAGATTTTTATTTAATCAGTGACTGACTGTTTGTTGTGAATAAATCCACAGGGACACATGTCGCTGAGAGAACAGGTAGAATCAACATTTACAAGGTCATTGAGTTTGGCAGCAGGTGTCGTCAGAGCAGGGAGAAGATAGAGATACATAAAGTGTTTGGAGATAAAGTCTTTAAAGTAGAATGGATAAAGTATATGTGTCCTGATGAGCTGGTTTGGGTGTTGAGATCAGGGCAGGGTCTTCTCAGCTGCCGTAGTTTTTATGTTTGACTAGACATCTTGTAAAGTTTTGTCTGAGCTCGCTCTGAAAACGTTTCTCTCAACTTTTCTTGCACAATAAAACCACTGCTGTCCACAGCCTTTATGAATGTTCTGTGTTTTGATGGTGCAAACGTACAACACCACTCCAACCAAGCAGAACAAACCACAGTGGAACTTTATTCCTAACAACTGGTACTTTTTGGTGGTGGTGCTTTGATGCAGGACCACAAGGTGTTCAGCTATCACCATCACAAGCTGGAGGAAGGTTACCCCAAGGAAATCTCAGAGGTCTTCCCTGGAATACCTGACCACCTGGACGCTGCCGTGGAGTGTCCCAAACCAGAGTGTGAAGAGGACTGCGTCATCTTCTTTAAGGGTCAGTGCTCTTCACCCGGATGTCAACACCTTAAACAATCTAGATGCTGTGAATATCCATTTTAAACCTCATCAGCTTCTTGAACCTTGAAACACATCGTCCACATCGTGTGTGATTTGTTTTTTCTGCAGCTAACGACATCTACCACTACAATGTCAAAACCAAGGCTGTGGAGAAGAAAGAGTTCGAGTCCATGCCCAACTGCACGTCCGCTCTCCGCTTCCTGGAACACTACTACTGCTTCCACGGACACATGTTCTCCAAGTTCGACCCGAAGACCGGCGACGTGCACGGAAAATACCCCAAAGAGGCTCGCGACATTTTCATGAAATGCGAAAAATTCAGTGAGTGAAGAAAAGAATCACTGTTAGCCTTTACTGGGATATGGAATAGTCAGTTGTATGAATTGATGATATATCTTAAGATAATCACTGTAATGTTGGATGTTTCAGCTCATCCTTCACTCCTTCTTCTACTTTTCCCTGTAAAGCAGAACCCAACATTTATCTCCAAAGTTTAAAATAGTTTGGAGTCAGTTTGGACGCCATACGCTGGCCAACCCCCAAAAAATATGAATTCAACATTAACTTCATGCCTCTTCATTGTGTAGGTGAGCACAGCGACCACGTGGAGAGAGAACGCTGCAGCCACGTTCACCTCGACGCCATCACATCCGATCACGGTGGAAACATGTACGCCTTCAGAGGTGAGAACAGACGCTCACTCCACCTCATTCGTTGGGAGCGGCAGGTGAATTCTTTCCTATCCTGGTTTCTGTTGATCTTCCACAGCTTCTCTGAGCGATTCCCTTGTTTTGCAGGCCACCATTTCATCCGTCGAGACGAGGGCAACGACACGCTGACGGCCAACACCCTCGATCACGCCTTCAAGGAGATACACAGCCATGTGGACGCCGTGTTCTCCTTCAACGATCATCTGCACATGATCAAGGTAAAGTAGAGAAACAAGTGCGTTGCTCCTGTCGTCATCTTTTCCTCAAAACTTTAAGGTTTCTTTTTTTTCCTCCTCAGGGAGACAAGTTGTACATTTTCCAAGACGATGAGCCCCACGCTCTCATGGACGGTTACCCCAAGTCTGTGAAGGAGGAGCTGGGCGTGGAGGGTCCCATCGATGCTGCGTTTGTCTGCGAGGATCATCACATCGCTCACATCGTTAAAGGTAAAGACTGAAAGGAAACCCGTGAAAGTACAAACCTGAACAAGCGACTGACATGTCCTCCTTCCCCCCGTCCTCCAGGTAACCACATTTTTGATGTGGAATTGAAGGCCAGTCCTCGTGTTGCAGAAAACGAACAGACGATTTCCCTCTTCGAGAAGATCGACGCTGCCAAGTGCGACAGCTCCGGGGTCAAAGTGTTCGTAGGGAGTCACTTCTACCACTTTAACAGCACCATGGAGTTTGTTGCTGCGAGGGCCCTGCCGGAGCAGCACAGAATTTCCGTGGAGCTGTTCGGCTGCGACCACTGAGGCGCTATCTCGACAGAACTGAATGGACCGTGTGGAACATCACGTACAAGACAGTGAACCGCGGAGGAAGGAAAGCACCGGCGACGTCGGACAATGATGTAATGTTTCATAGGGTCTCTCTCCTGGGTCGTACCTTAAACTAACTTTGTTTCTTTCTGGAAGAATTATCAAAAGGTCAGCGGTCCACTTTGTAACACGGGCCACTGAGAAGTGAAACTGCAGGTACATTGGTTTTGTACAGTGTGGTGAATAAAAAAGAAACGCAACAAACTTCGCTCAGTCTATTTGTGTGGTGAGAGGAAAGTAAGTCACTTAATTTGAGATTAAACTTTAACTTGACTGAACCTCAGACGGTAAAATTCTATTTAATTTAGTTTCATCTGTTGGTGGGTGAGTCAACATTAAGACGGAGGGAAAAAAGATTTAACAGGAAGAAACCTCCAACAGAACCTGACCTCGAACGAGAGTAGAGTAATGGAGGTGGGAGGAGAAAGTGGGGGAGAAGGAAGAGAAAGAGGAGAAAGAGGAGAAAGAGGGATGGAGGTAGAGAGATGAAAAAAAGTCCAGGCACAGATGTGTACAGTTGTTATAATA